GTGTTACAAGTTAGATCGTGGCATTTGATTGGAGGTACACGTGGCCTCATCATGTTAATCTACATGTCAAATTATAGGCATCAATTTTGACCATCTAGCCTATTGCACATTTATTAATTGACAAAATCGTCGCTACTTTGACAAAACAAGATACTTACACTCCATGATGGGTGTCTCATCAATTATTCAAAGAGGATCCTTGTGTATGATCGGATCTTTGGGGAGAAGTGATGCCAGTTGTCATGGGCTTCGGTATAATGGGCCTCGGGGTGAAGAGCCTCGATCATGTATACCACCTCGGTTAATGCACTTTGGCCTACAAAACATCGGTATAAAGAGCCTCGGCCATGTATACCACCTCGGTTACTGCACTTCGGCCTTCAGAACCTGGGCCACGTCATAGGAGCTGTTTACTGGTGTTGGTCAATCTTCACTGACATCAGGGGGCCTCGGCTAAGGTGCCACACGGTTCGACATGGGTGGGCCATGGGCCCCCAGTGGATCGGCCAAGTGTATCGACACATAACAGGCTGTTTGCAAAATACGGTTCTCTGGTTTCGTTGTCTCTATAGTTGTTTTGTCTGTGTAGCTGATTGCAACTCAGTTGAAATCTGGTGCTGTGAAGGGAAGCAAGAAGAAGAGCTGATGAGTTGAAATCAGTTGAAATCTCGTGCACATGTGCATTTTGTTGGAAAATAAACACATTTCAATCCCAAACTGGGCAATCCGCGTACCTCATTTCCCTTCTGTGTTGTCACCAGTCACGTAGCTACCTTTTTTTTTTTTTTTAAACAATTTTACAGGGCAGATGTAGAACCCCAAATAATTCTAGACACCTTAGTGGCACTAAGACATGAATATTGGATGACTAAAATATACTTCAGATTTTTAGTCTCATTTGAGACCCATTTTCGACATAGGGAACATTCAATTTGGAAAATAATATCTGAATAAAAGTTGTAGCTCTTTGAGTTAGCTTTCCAACGCATTTTGAATTACCTCAATCGGATATCGGGAGAAGAAGTTATGATAGAAACACTGAAAGCTGTGCAGTGTCAACCGAACTACAACCGGTCGACCGAAACTGCCTCAAATGAAAATTCTCGTTTTTCTCTAGAATTTAAATATTTATTTTCATCAATTATTTTCTCAAAGGGTCACCCACGTTTTTGGCAATAAAAACCCCATTAAATTTAAGTATTTAACCTCAAACTTAAATGACCCCCATATTTTCTCTCTTAAATGAAATTTGACCATTCATTTGCTTTAAGTTATGGGATATTTACCTATGAATAGAGACCTCATTTCACTCATTTTTCTCACTCATTTTTTCTCACACCAAAAGCAAGAGCTTTTACATACTAAAGAAAGAGTTTCCAAAAGAAAAAAAGAGAGGGAGGAAAACCATTTTTCCTAGAAGTTTAAGAAGTGTTTTCAAGCATCAATTCTCAACGGTTTTCAAACATCCAAGGAGTGCATTTCTTTCAACGTCCAAGTTTCATTGAAGTTTTCAATCCAAGTTTTCAAAGTTTCAAAAGTATCAATCAAGGTAGGTAAAGGTGCAATGTGTTTAATCGTGTTAAGTTATAAGTTTCGATTCATGTTAATGTTTGTATGTCAAATGGTACTTCGGTATGGCATATCCCTCTATGTTAATGGTTGTATGTCAAATGGTAATTCGGTATGGCATACCCCTCTGTATTGAAGAAATGTTCGTATGTCAAATGGTGCCCTCGGGTACGGCATACCCCTTCATGTCAAATGGTGCCTCCGGGTACGACATGTATGAAAAGTTATAAAGTTAATGTTTTGAAATGTATAGCTTGATCACGAATGCACCTATGACACCTATTGAGTTTTTCAACTCACGGGTTTAATCCCATCTCTACTGATTGAAGGAATTCTACCTCGGGCATGGATGTAGAAGAAGATGGAGAGTAATGCAATGAGCCCATAGAAATTCGATGAATAAGTGATTTGGATTTATTTTTATGAAATATTTTCCAATGTTATTTCTTTAAAGTTTTGAATAACGCAGAATGCAAAAACAAGTTATGTTTTTTTCAAATAAATTACATTTTGTTGTTTTGAAAAATGATTCAGTGTTTTTGTTTAAAATATTTGAAGTAATGTTATTTAAATTATTATCCGAAGATGTAAGCTTCCGCTAAAACGTATACACTTGTTACTAAACCACCGGTTAAGTTAAGTAAAGTAAGTAGCATTCCGGTCCACTAGGGGTTGGGGCGTTACAGTAGAGTATAGCGAGTCATTAGATATATTAACTGAGTAATTAGTCTACTGTTTCAAGGTAGCAGTTTCTTTTTTTCTTTTTTTTTAAAGATCAGCACCTTCTTTGGTTGCAGCATCAAAACAATTAAAAGTTTCATCCTCTTCATTTTGTACTTCTTCTGGGCACTTTTATATCAGTTTTGAACTATTTTCCTCCACATCTCGATTTGAGAAATTTGCTGTAAAATGTTGCCAGAACGTTTGGTGATTTCAGATAAATGAGCCGGGTTTTATTCCCTTGGCGTGATGGTACTATCTGCCCACAATTTGTGATGGATGAGAAATCTGATTTTGAATATTCTTGCCTCATGGAATTTAACGATGTCGAGTGTTAGATTGCCAGAGATATATGGTTCCTTCGTTGTATAATGAAAGATAATAAGACTAAAAAAGCAAATTACAAAGTCAACAAGCAGTACTGGTGAAAAAAATAATAATAAAAAAAAATAAATAAATAAAAAATCCCACTTGAATTTATACTAATCTGAAGCTCAAGAAATGGCCGATGAATCAAAATTTGGATATTAGGGGCATTGCTCAGGTGGAAGCTGGAAATGGTTGTGCCACTGGTATGCCAGCCGCTGCAAAACTTGAAACAGCTTCAAAGAGATGGTGAGTTGCTTTCTGATAGTTGACAAAACCTATATACAAAAAATCATGCCCGTCAATGGTGATAGCCTGGGTATATCTTCCCTGCGGATTTTCCATCATGATTACTGGGTTGATGCTGCCAATCTTGCCCAAGGGAATCAGAATCTGTGAAGCATGAAAATGCGAATGCAAATTGCTCAAGCATTGGAAACTTACAAAAGAGAGTGCATGTCGAAGACATTTGAGGAATTTGATGATCATGCGGCAAATGACTATTTTACCTTGTAATAGCTCCAGGTTTCTTGGCCTGAGGGTGCTGTGTAAGACAAGGGTCTGTCAGTGCAGAAAGCAATATGGGCATTGGACAGATAAAGGGTTCCGGCAACTGGTCCAGTTTTGGTAGACAGGTAACAGGCAAAAAAGTCTTTTTTAGCTTCTCATTTGGAAACGTTGCAAATATCTGCTTGTACAGGGCCTCAAACCCACCTCCTGTTATTGCTCTCTGTCAGATTTACCTTCCCCCAGGCAGCTCCAGGCACAGATGGTCCTGTTTTAACTGAGGAAAAAACAAAGAAAAAGAGCTGATTGCTGCCAAAAAAAAAAAAAAAAAAAAAAAAAAAAAAAAAAAAAAAAAGGAAAAAAAAAAAAAAAAAATTAAAAAAAAAAAAGAAAAAAAAAAAAAAAAAAAAAAAAGAAAAAAAAAAAAAGAAAAAAAAAGGGAAAAAGAAACAGAAAAATTGCACGTCTACTTCAAATGACATACGATTGTGCCAAATATTATGAGCATTGGACTCAGCCTTGTGGCTCCATGAACTGAATTTCTGTAGAACAGATTCCAAGGGACTGCTGTTGGTTCTTTCTACTGGGGAATACTGTACGTAAGGGTAATGGTGGTTTTGGTAATCATATTGATCGCCTGCTCCCCACAAGGCTGCCTTCTGATTATTGGGGTGGCATGTGGGCACGGAAGGTTTGCCCATGATGGGAGTACTCCATTTCTCTTCGGATGTACTGATGTAGGATGTGCAGTGGAGGATGACAATCCAGGCTGAGGATCTTGACAGTATGGAGGTCGCAGTGGTGGCGGATGGACATCAGGGGACGACAGGTTGGGGTATTTGCGTTGGGATTCTTTTGTGGGGTTCATTCTTTTGTCTATGTTAATATTAGTATAGAATATAGAAATCAAAGGGGATTCAGATTTATATTTTACAGTGGAGGAGACTGATTGAAAAAGACCTCCACTTGGTTATTCTAGATGATGTAGAATTCCAACCGCGAAATTGCTGGCAGTTGAATCTAAGCCCCCGTTTGAGCCCCATTATTTTTCATTACATTAAATTAAATTTTTTTCTCTTCTACTTTTAACCACACAATTTTCAATAAAATAATATTACACGTAAATCAAAAACTTTCAATCCCTCAATTAAAAAAAAAAAAAAAAAAA